AATGGACTTGTCTCCTTTGTTTAAAAAAATATCCTCATTTGAGATATGGGGCTGTTTCTGTACCCTCTTTGTCATTAGTTTTTAGGGTCACTGTGAGTTGGAATCAACTGGATGCTGGGGAGAGAGTTTTGTGTGTCCGTTTTTATACAACTACTGGGCTGGTTTGGTGACGATAGTTGTATGTTTTAAAAGCAAGTGTGAATCCTTCCTTTGTTCTTGCCTTTCAATGTTGCTGCAGCTGGGCAGGACCTCTTGCATTCCATGTGAGTGGAGGACTTGTTTTTCTCCTTCTGTAACTAATGATGCTGTAATTCCGCTTGGGATCATGTTACATCTGTAGCTCACTTTTGGGTAGGATTGACATCTTAACAATATCCAGTCTTCCACTCTGTGAACGTGGGATAGCTTTTCACGTAAATCCCCTTTAATCTTCTTCATCAGAGGTTCCTAGTCTCCTTGTAGAAGTCCTTCCTATCCCAGGTGAGATTTATCCTTAGGTATTTCATTCTCTGGGTGGCTGTTGTGAATGGAATGGCTTCCCCAATCCCCTTGCAGGTTTTCCTGGCTGGCACACACAAACTCACTTGATTGTGCATTGACCTTTTACGCTCCACATTTCCAAACTCCTTGTTTAACGCTTATTTGTCAGACATAAAGTTTACAGGCTGCCTAGTACAGTGCCTCGCATGTAGTAAACTCAAGGTAAATCTATTATTTTCCTGGCTCAGCGACTTTGTCAAGCGTCATGCAGAAGATTATCTTTCTAACCTTCTGTTTTGTGCAAACAAGCCGTCTAGAGCTCCAGAGGAGGCTTGTGTTGACTTTCTTTTGTGGCACAGCAGAAATGGGACGGACTCTTCGGGACTACTGGATTCCAAGGAGCTTTTGAAGAACCCTCAGAGTGGACAAGGCAAAGGGCCCAGGAGTGTTCAGCGGCTAAGTCGCTCCTTTAGACTAGGTGAGCTCTCCTTTGAATATGTTCGTGCTGCTCAGGACACTGTGAGCATTCATAATTTCAGTCTGTTCTCCTTGAAATGTATCTACATTATACTGTGTTCAAGATTTTCCCCCATCTAAATGAGTAATGTGTTCCTTTCTTGTCTCAGAAAACCCAACCAAATTGAAGCCTAAGAGTACCTGTGAGGGTCAACTGAATGAATCCATGTTTCTTCTCAGGTATGTCAAATGAACAAATAAAGGTAGGGAATTGAGGTAAAGGACAGGAATATTAATGAAAGGTTCCAGTTTTATTCAACTTAGAGTTAAGGGCTGGTCAGTGGCATTTTTATTTAATATTTAAAAGTGAATTGACTTAATTTTGTTATTTACAAGAGTTAAAGCTTCTCCATCCTGTTCCATCACCGGAATTGGAGAGCCCTGGTGGTATGTGGTGAGCCACGAGCTGAATGGTCAGCAGTTTCAATCCACTGACTGCACCTTTGGAGAAAGATGAGGCTTTCTCATTTCACAAAGATTCACAGCCTCAGAAACCCACAGGCACAGTTCTACTCTGTCCAGCAGGGCCACTGAGAGTCAGAATTTCTTTGTTTTAAAACTTAGTGCGATCTCTGGCTTATTTTCAGTACTGGATACGTATTTGTTTCAGGAACAGGTAAGGAAGATGAGAATCCTTATCTTAGGGCGTTTGAAGGAAATGATTAAAACTCCCCTCATTATCTGGGATAGTGGTTCCGTGTCGGGCTGCGATCCGCATGGTGGGCAGTTGGAAAACACCAGCAGCTGCGAGGGGGGATTCCGCTTTCTACCCCGCCCACAGTGCCAGTCTCGGAAACCCACAGGGGTCTCACTAGGAGCCAGCATTGACTCGATGGCAGTGAAAAGAATTATCTTAGTAGAAGGATTTTTTTCTTTTTAAGGAGGTGGGTAAATTTTTGATTTATTTTTAACTTTTTATTCTGATGAAGGTGAAGGTTTATAAGAGCAGGTAATCAGTTTTGCATTTTATAATTTATACACATTTTGTTTCATCTCATCCATATTTTTTAATACATTATTTTTTATTGTGAATTAGGTGGCATATGGAGGGTTCTTAAAAATGTGAAAAACTCAAAAGGTAACAGAGGATGGCTGCTCCTTATAAGAAGAAGAGAATTCACTAGAATTAGATGGAGATTATAAGTTGATTAGCAAGGTTGTACCTGGGCTGCTAACAATAGATTACATATTGGGCTGCTAACTGTAAGGTCAGCAGTTCGAAACCACTAGCCACTGCAAAAGAGAAAGTATGGGGGTTGGCCCCATACCCAACTACTGTGTGGGACATCTGCCTCTCCCCCCAGAAGAATTTATTTCAAAGGACGGCATTGAATCTGCAGCTCCGGGAGAGGGACATATCTGATCAGAGCACATGGAAGCAGATGAAGGGGGAGGAGGAGAGAGTGGAGCGCATCTTGGCCCACCAGGCCGTGAGGACGATGTTCCTGATTAGAGCAGCCAGTCCATAGAGAGGACCACATAGCCAGCCCCTTTATGAGACATGACGTCCCTCACTGACCCATAGCCCTACAGGGGACAACACAGGAGACACCATGTGGGAATTGCGCCCGATCTGATCCTGCCACACTGAGGCAAAACACTAAAGGGGTGCAACAGAACAACAAGGGAATGGAGTGGTGAGGTCCCCAGGAAATGCTGAAGGTGGACTTTGGGGCCAGGGCGTGGTACCCCAACAGACTGGACTGGAAAACTCTCCTAAAGGCCAACAAACAGTCCTTGAACTAACTG